CGGTACACTGCATTTTTCAATGGAAAGTATCGGGGAATATCACTGCTCTAAGTAATTTTATATAGTAAGTAGCTCAAATCATTCGGTATACCTGAAAAAAATACTTTATAAAAGTTTTAAAATAATTTTTCAGCTGATCCTATGAATTTCTCTAACATTTTAAATTAATTGAGATTTAATCGCAGCTGATCCTTCTTTTGTTTTGATTTTAATCCCATGTTATTTAAATGGGCCAAAATCGTACTTTGAGGGCTTGCCAAGGGTTTATGGGTCAACGCACCGACTTGTGACCCTCAAAAGGCACATCTACACGCTAAGGGCTTTCAAACAACATAAAAAACATTAAAATTGAGCCAGTGGTTTGGGCTGTAGGTCCGTCAACATTTAAGGAGAAGAAGGAGAACACGGAAAATTTGTGAATTTTCAAACTAGTTTTTCTTGGCTCAAACACAACCTTTTTTTAAATTCTTTTTTTTATTTTGCCAAGAATGATTGCCCCTATCCAGTGGATGAACAATTATTTTAATAGCTTTTGTTTCTTCAGAGCTATAGACGAGTAAAAAAGCCACTTTGTCACGTCATGTATATATAGGCCTACACTGCAGCAGCTGTGTACCGCTGGGGGACTTGGCGGGGCGGAACGCTGCCGCGTTCCTTAATAATAACTGCTCACTAAGTCAATGTGTCTTTAATTAATAATTTCGATGATAACATAGAATAAGCCTCTTGGCTACGAGATCACAATAGCGTGCTCTTAAATACAACTCAACCTTAGAATAGTAACTAAATTAATGTGAACAGTTTCTTCTAAAACACTATTAAATAGGCAAAGCAAACGGTTTTAAATTGATTAAAAAGTCTAATGTATCTCAAAGTCGATTAAAGGGGACGTGGGGAGGTTTGAGGTGTGTTGCCACAGCAAGGTTAACTCCTAGAAGTTAATATACTTCCGGTTCCTAAATCTCGATTTCACTCAGATGAACTCAAAGAAACCCTTCTAACCCTTGTAAGGGTTCTTTAAGATGACCCCTTCTTTGATTCACATAAAAGAAAGCAAATAAAGCGAAAGAGAGTATTCAAAGTGTAAAACAAGTAAATTATACTATATTCTTGATCATTATTTTATTTGCATTAAGCATTCATATTACTGTATTAAAATAATGTATTCCTTTTATTAACTTTGTTAACCATGCATAGTCAATATTGTTTATAAAATATTATTAAGCTATAATCTACACCATTACAAGCTCAATCCTTCGGCATGACAAAATCCTGCGTTTGCTATAGTATGGACAGATCTAAAAGAAGTCATAAAAGAAAGTAAATGTTTTAGAAGTCATAAAACCAAACAACAGCCAAAATCACAGTCAAGTTCCACACGGCTGATACAAAATGTACGCGACTCCTGGACAAGACGACCTACGCCCTACGCGGCGGCAACAAGCGCCTGGTACGAAGAGGAATTTGAGTGGTTTTTTGTCTGATTCTCCAAATTGTTTGTGTATCACTCGCCACTTTGGTCCTTAGCGTTCTCGGAACCACCCCCCCCCCTCCCCCAACCTACACGAGGGTAGCTGCGTCATCTGTTTACGTATATAAACCATGAATGGAGCAGCCTCCTCTAGTCCCTTGGAACTCTGGTCAGTTCTGTTTGTAGGTAGGTTGCGATCAAGCTACGTGTAGGAAATTCCCTTTGAAATGTATTACTTTGAGATGATCCAGCCAAAGTGAGGGTAAGCAAATGGTATGCATTTCTCATTGAGCATTTCGAAAAACGGTCTAGAAAATATATAGAACATTTCTTGTAAATCCTTTAGGTATTCCAGAATCATACGAAATCGTATTTGATTTAAAACCCAATAAGCATCAAGGTAATTTGTTTTTACCACTGCAAATGAGTGATCGTACTTACGTGAACTTATACAAGTTACAACGGAACAATATGTACTGTATATTCAGATCTATGTGCAACAACTGCTAATTTCGTGGATTGCCTAGAGAGTGCAAATCGTCAACAAGCTGACATCCCCGGGCGTCGTGAGGCTCATCCATCGAGGGATCATTGAGTGTTAATTGTGGACAGAATGCGGTGAAAGTGATCCAAGCTAATGTGGAACAACAATTATAAATTGTCCTTGTGGAAACCGCTCTAGAAAGTATTCCTGAAATACCAATAATGAGTCGCGGTTGAGGTGCGAAATCAAACTAACGAATGTTGCGACAGATCTGTAGATAGTGCAGGTGTGAAACTAATTAGTGGAACTGAGCTTTTGGAAGCCTAATATTGTGTGTCTACTTTACAGCTCAATTGGAGAACACAGCAGAATCGATCCTTGGGGGACTCCAGAGCATCGGGACGTAGTGGACCGAGTTAGCTCTGGCCAGCTTACGAACATGGTGGTCATGGGGTAAATTGGCCTTTTAACATAGTATATTCTTCAGTGCTTCATTGTTTACAAGGTGTGCTTTGCTATTAAACTAGGTGACGTCGAAATCCTTATGAGGAGACCAAAGTTGACTACTGTTAGCACTGAAGAGATAGATAAGTGTGATTTAATAATTATATCGAGACTGATTAACTAAAGGATTATGTTTGGATTCATACCAATACAAATATTTAAAAAAAAAAATCAAACAAGAATATGAAAATTTCCCTCGTGGAACATTTAAGACGATGGAGTACACATATTAATTCTTGACTTTAATGTAGACGTTGGATGGTTACGGCTTAAAAAGAAGGTGTGAAAAAACAACTGATAATCTTTATAAAACGCTTTAGGACATATTTAATGATTCGATAATGAACGATTATACTGTAACCGACCACCGTCCGCAGCATTTATCCTGTGTGGTACTACTACCCCTATATAAGTGCAAGTTACACAACCAATTCGACCCAACACATTTCGAAACCATATCGAACGATCGATTATCGATTACCGATTACCGTTTCGGCGGTGTTCGTGTACATTGCTTCATTGCTAATCATGTTGTCAGCTCTGTTCATTCGACCCAACACATTTCGAAGCCATATCGAACGATCGATCATCGATTACCGATTACCGTTTCGGCGGTGTTCGTGTACATTGCTAATCATGTTGTCAGCTCTGTTCATTCGACCCGACACAATTCGAAGCCATATCGAACGATCGATTATCGATTACCGTTTCGGCGGTGTTCGTGTACATTGCTAATCATGTTGTCAGCTCTGTTCGCCAGTAAAGGCCAGATTTACGATCCTATTACCCTGCATACATTACTTCCATCCAGCACTTTAGCTAACGACAGCAATAAACTTATGGGGAATCTTCGAGACGGTAAATTAACAAGATTAAAACTCAGCCGCTGCCTCGGGAGGCGCAGATCGTGTGGTTGTAGAAGTGAGCGGCACGAGCAGCGAGCAGCGGCCACGCTCACAACCCGTGGATTGAATTGCGAAAATACGTGATCGGGTGTAATAGAGTCATTTGTGGACATAGGGGAAAATACTCAATTGACGAAGAAAAAATTCAATGCTGATATTGTAATATCATAATTTTATCCTTAAGGAACACCGAACTTTCCCTAAATATGTTAACGTTGGGCAGTAATAAATGCGAATATCCTCAGGGGCAATTACGTATAATATTTAAAATATGGAAAATTTTAAAAATTTGAAAAGGTCACAACCTTGTTACATAAATACCATATTCGCGATAATTGGTGTTTTATGTGATTTTACCTTGCTAGTTCAAAAAATGTTTGTGTTAGTGAATGCTTTTATACGATTAAACTATTAAAACGTTCATTATTTTACAATTTTTGCATAAATCGCTTAAAAGGAAACTTTAATTGGCGAATTATAATTTTTTTCCAAAATGAATTATTTCCAAGTGTAGATTATCTTGACGTCTCTGATTTCATGCGAAAAATATCTAGCGTCGCATATCCTGACAGAACACACAATCTCCTAATAATTCAGACATAATCAAAAACTCCTTCACATTTCTGGAGATCGAGTAAGCTAACGTATGACCTAATAGAGCATTGCATCAAATCTGCAATTTCACAGTTGGCTGCACATTTTAATTTGACGTGTAAATTTCGACGTATGTCATCCATTATAATGTATAATCATAGATTAAAAGAAGTAGACATGTCTATACTCCTTTTATCTATGGTTTAATCCTTCCACGACACCCCAGCCAGGGTCACTTGGACAATACCCGTGTCACGTGACATTGGGAATGATGACCGATACAGCGGTTTATGGCCGATCACTCGGACAATCGCCCTACCAAGAACAGGAGGGACAGGAAAGTTCCGTGAAACTTCTTCAAGCCTGTCAATCCGCATCCGGCCGAGCCTCTTGGGATCAAAATTGGCGACCAATCCGATTTCACTTCGGAAAAACATGTCGCCTCGCGTCGCACGCGAGACTGATTTTCTGGAAATGGAATCATTTGGGACAGCTGCAATTATACAAAACGTTCTTGGGCGTTTCTTTTATACGCAATCGCCGAAAATGAAGAGATGTATTTTTGTTGAATGTCTCAGATGACAATGTATTTGAGTTAAAAGAAAATAACACAGGGTATTCAAATTGAGTTAACTTGAAGATGGAAATCGAATTAGAAATGTTTAAAACAATCTTAATATTAAACGGTGCATAAACATTAACTTAAGACTTAGTCAATAGGTTTGATGCAACTGATTCCAGTTCGCTGAAAAAAGATTACAAGCAGTGCACCAACTTGATGCATCCCTCAGTTTTACATAATTCAGAAACTATTAATTGCAAGGTAAATGTATTCATCAAACCGATAAATTGATGCTTTATAGTACAGAACCATTTAGCCAATGCAAGAATGTTCAACGAAAAAATGAACGTTGTACTAGACACTTTTTTGAGGAAACCCTATAAAAGCTCCATAAAAAGTAAGACCATATCTGCATAAACTTTTAGTTTCGAAATACAGTATTATAGTTTAAATATTACAAAATATAAACAAGTAACTTACCCGAACAGGAGCTTCATACATCCGCCTGCTTATGAAGTCAGGAGAACACTGCGAACAAAAAACAAACATTTTCATTACCCTACAATAATGTCTTGAAAATAACCAGAAACAAACACACAAAACCCTCAAATCCCACATTTTCTAACCTAACCCCCTTTATAAAAAATCCAAGGCTATTATGTAAACAAATATAATTTGCACTAATTTGCTAATTTGATTGTTTACAATATTAGATTTAAAAAACATTTCAACAGGAAAACACAGTTTGTTTGCTCGTTTTTTGCACAGTAGGTATATGTTGATGTCATCTGAACCTATCACTATCTTCATAATTATTATTCGTCTGAAATCAACTGGAACTGAAAGTGATTAAATATTGAGGAATGTTTTGTATGTGTGCTGCGTCAAAGATCTAGTCTAGATGAAACTGCGATGAAACGTTGGAAAAATATTCAAAACAAATCACAACCAAAGTCCATACATGGATGAAGTCACAATTGTACTTTATTTTGCCTATAGTAAACCTGACACTTTAGCAAAGGATCACACACCAACCATACATACTTTGAATAGCTTAATTATTATCATTAATTCAGTACCAGCCCAAGTCTTTACGGCGTTCAAGCATTTCTTACGACTCGAGACTCAAAACAATTCACTCCGGACAACTTAGAAATAATCGCCAACCCTTTTCACTGCAACAGGTTAGCAGCCGTTAAAAAGCCAAGTCTAAACTAGAACATGATCCTATCTGCACACCATCATTATAATTCACCGTCTCGCTTCGTTCCCCGTTCTGCCGATTATGAGTGGAATACTGGATGCGGAGTGATTTAGACGGGGGAACAGTGGATGTGAACTGTATAGTATTGTGATATAATGGCTCAAGTAATGCAAGGTGAGGCTAGGCGTAGTTGAGGTCATGCAAGTATATCATGCATATTAAGTCCTCTATGTGTCAAGCAATAAACAGCTGACAATAGGATTGTGACGTCACATCAGCTGATACAACAATCGACAATAAACAGCTGGAGTTTATTTGATGTTATCAGATTGGTTACGGTGAAGTGTGAAATGTAGTTGAGATGAAGATGAGTATCTGTTATGTAATTGTTGACAATTCTAATTTTGAAAAATGTATAGATGAAATAAAAATCTACGAGTAGCCTGTGTCTCAGGTTAAATTATTTATTCTAATATGTCTATAACATTAAATTAAATGAATACTGACCTATTATCATAATGCCACGTTCAACTACGTTTTTCGTCATTAATAGACATTAACAGTAGGTCAGTGTTTTTTCATGTTTTTTAAAAATAAACGTAACCTATCAACTTTTGCTATCTAACAAAATGTAGGTATATAGTTAAAAACGGGATTTGGGCCGTTCCCTTATACACCCCATGTTCCTTTATGTGTAAAAAAGGCTAACAAAGAAAAACTCAAATAAAAAAATGGAGGACGAGTCTGTGAATCGTATGTCAACGTACAACCAGGCGTGACAACTAATTATTGTTCCAAAATAATAAAAATCTGTTTTTACAAAAAAACGTTCGTTTAGACGATTTGATAGTTTTCACAAAACCACCTCGGTGACATTCGACCTGATTGCCATACCGGTTTTTCGACAGCAAAACAAGTGATTAAATTAATTCCCAGAACGTTTTGTGAAACTGCTAATTGTAAGTTTTTCCGCGCCTACCCATGTCACAGAAGGGTTGACATCTGGCCAATCAATCAATTGGCCCTGGTCACTGACCTTTTCCAACGGTACCCTTTTATTCCACAACAAAAGAGCGGGTGGCCGAGTCCTCCTTCGTTTCATCGATTTTGAAAAAGCCCTGATATTTTGGGGGTTCTGGGAACAAGGGCAAAACGTGATTTCGTCACGGAGGCTACTGCGTTGTTCTAAACATCGTTTTGTTATTTTATCCTCATTCGGGTTCTGCGAATCGACCTGGTGGTCCGAGATTAGATAGGAATCTGCAAAGGGATTTGGGCAAATTATGTGTCCACGTGTAATGCAAAAGGGTGCAATTCTTTAGAGGTCAAGAGTAAACAAAGAGGTTATCGTTCAAATACTGGTGATAACCGATTTTTAATCCTCCCCATATGATACAACCGTACAAACCTGTGGAAGCCACAACCATCGATGTATAACTGTAGAATATTATATATCGATGGCCACAACAACTTTTTCATCAAACTGAACCTAACTTTGTAGTAGATCCCTTTGATTTCGCGGGATCTTCCACACCTATGCATTTATATTATTGTCTGGGCACCCAAGTGGTTACAAGTTCGCTGGTTCGACTCCAAAACGAAATCAATCCCGGATCCCGATGCCATAATCAAGCTAACAACATTTAATGTTTCTAAAAGACGATGTACCGGTACGTCAAAAAGTACAAAACCAGGGTTTATAGAGTTCCCTTAATTGCAGGCCTGCACAAAACTGCCAATGACATAATCACAACCACCCTCCAACGAATCCATCTACAATATAGTTATAGTCCTTGCAGCCTAACTACGGCCATAACTTTCAGCACGGGATATTAAACCAGGAGTAGTCTTTTGGATAGTTCCAATACAAAATACAAGTCTGTCAACGGCTAATATAAGCACAAAATAAAACATCGTAAAATGAACCACCGTACAACCATTGGCAATTATAATACAACTAGACATTCCATTCCCGTGTAAATATTGTTGCCAGTTTTTAAAATAAAAATTGACGTAGTTGATGTGAGACACCGACGGATTGCGCTGATAAAAATTAGGCCTACCGATTTCTGTTGAGTACATGAACTATCTTATCAAGTTTAACTAACGAAACAACTTACCGCGACCTATAGGCTCTGCTATGACCCAGCAACTATGGCGCAAACCAAAAATAAGGTGGAAATGGAATTTTAGACGGCGCATTCTGCGACTGGCTTCACAGCTACGTTCTTTTTCATAAATAAGTTAAATTGGCTTCAGCTGGTCCATATAGATGGGGTGTCTACCTCATTACGCAATAGTCAATGGTACAACGCTCTCTGAAATCCCTCACGGCCAACGCTCTCAACAAGGGATTAACAATTAAAGGGGGAGGCGTGCCTAAGACTGTATCCAGCCACAACGACGAGGTCACGTGGAGAGGTAATAGGTCGTAAAAGCGGTGTGGCCCCAAATGTAATCAGTCCACAGACTACACAACACAAAACACGAACACGACTCAAAATCCGAGCAACACGATCCGGCGCGAAGGACCATAAAATGGCGCGGTCGCCAACATGAGGTGGTCCGGCGAGGTATAGCCGCGAATGTATTGTAATAGTTGCAATTGTTTATAATGTTGTTAAATAAAAGATTAATGCGTGGGAACACAAAATGAGTCTTCGGTTTTGGTTATACAGCAGTTCATAGTCATTGACAATATGTTTTTTTATTCATCTTTCTTCGAATGGTTGGTTTGAAGTAGGCTATACAAATGTATTTATTAGTAATCTCTCACACAATATTTAAAATGTTTCCCCTTAATTTGACTTATCAATGGTAACACTTAACATATTTGTCGGAATTTCACCAGTAAACATAGTGTTGAAACGAAACCTTAAATGTTTTCATAAGTTTAAATTATCACCTAAAATGTTCCCTAAATTGTTTAATGTATGTTTCAAATAGCAGCTTTGTGATCATGTACGTTATGAAATGTATTTACATACCAACAGATTTAAACATAGCTTACCTAAACTTCATTAGATAATCTATCAAAGTGATAGATAAGTAAGAGAGTTTAAACCAGTAGAATTTTGGTCTTTGGGGGACCGCTTCGTTTAACTGGAGAAACTTGGTTGAAGATACCGTATGATCTTTGGAGCGATCAATACTTGGCCAAGTTCCTGCAGTAATCGTGCGAAGACAGACTCTACTGTAGAATAATGTCATACTATCATATTCAAATAATTTCCTTTATCTTAAGCCTAAACTCAGACTTGCCCCAACCTACAATACTCCGCGGCTATCTTATAGGCTACATCTACATAAAAACAGAACCAGACTTCACGACAGACTTTACAAAAGCCATAAACACATTTAGGGCCTTTGAATGTAAATAATCAATCTGCCTCCAAAGTCCTGGAATAGTTAATTTAGAGGGGCAAAAACAGCAGGCCGGGGCGTGCAACACAAAAACTTGCGTCACGATTGCAATGGGCTGGGATTGTGACGAATCCATTGCCCGTAGATTTACAACTTCGGACAATTATAATGAGACAATAAAGCCCCTCGGCCTTGACTATTGGGGTATATGGGGGAGGGGGTTGGGCAAAAACTAGACTAAAATTAGCATAATATAAAGCTACTGAAAGAATACATCCATTTAGGATGGTTAAAATAGATTCTAATGAATTAACCCTTTTCGCTACCTTCCTACTACACTTCCTAATAGGTATGACAATCCCGCCTTAAACAGTGAGATTTCAAAAATGAACCATAATCTGTTGTTGCTCTCAAACCAGTACAAAAACGTTGTTTTTGTTTCCTTAAAGTCTCTGTCTCGCAATTTATTCACACGTCATGGCCTTCACCTTAACTTTAAGGGAAAGACAGCCCTTGCCAACATCCTACTTGAGTCCTTGCATACTCATCAGACCCCTGACACCACCACTCAAACTCTCCATCTTTCTGACCCAGCCATGGAAACCCTTACACCACATGAACCAGAACCAAAGCCTCCACACAAACCTGACCATGTCGCTGTGACCCATACACTTCCAAAAACCCATCCTAAAATAAAAGCCAAACAACTCCAACCTAAGGCCCGTACTCAATGTCGTACCTTCTCCAGCAAACATTTTTTAGGGGAAGCCCGAAAACCTCCAGGAGTCCCTTGGTCACTCTATCTCAACAGAGAATGGGGAATCAGGGTAAAGGTTTAAAAATGATGCACCAAAACATTAGAGGTGTGTTAAATAAGGCAGAAGAACTAGAAATCCTTATAGACGAAGAACACCCAGACATTATATGTTTGACCGAACATTTCTTAAAAGCGGAGGAAATA